TAGCCCCGGCCAGCTAGCTTCCGTTGTTTAGAGCATTGTTCCAGTATGCCAAGGCTGTGGGGTTCTATCTCCAGTCAGGGTGCATACAAAAAAACAACCAATGAATGAATTAATAAGTAAAAAAACAAAGCAGTGCTTCTTTGTGTCTCTTTCTCTCTCAAATCAATAAATAAATAAATTAAATAAAGCAGGATTAGGGGCAATGACAAAGTGTGAGAGACTGCTTACTTTAAATTTGGCCAGGGGAGACCTCTCTAATAAGGTCATCTTTGGTCAATAACCTGATAAAGCACATTAGCAATGTGCTAATCATGCTGTTCCTGGGAGAGGAAATAGCAAGCACAAAGGCCCTGAAGCAAAAGAGTGTTTTGCAGTGTTAAGGAACTTCAAGGAGGCCTGCATGGCTGTGGTGGCATGAGGGAAAGGGAGACCAGTTGAAGATGTCAGAGCCTGGTATGTGGGGAAACAGAGATCTAGGCCATGTAGTCTAGAGCAATTTGGACTAGCCACTGGACAGTTTTGGGCAGAGGAGTATGAGGATCTGTCTTAACTTTTTTATAGACATCACTCTGGCTACTATATTGAGAATGAGTGAGACATGGGCAGAAACAGGGAGACTCCTTTGGAGGCCAATGCAGAGAACCAGAAGGAGAGAAAAGTGGTCAGATACTCATAAAGAAGACTTAAAGAATACAAAGGATTTCCTGATGCATTAGATATGGGGCATAAGTTTTATGGCCTGAAAAACTGGAGGATGTAAAGTGTCATTTACCAGGACAGGGAGGACTGTAGGAAGGGTGGTTTGGTTTGTTGTTGTTGTTGTCCTGGTAGTGAAGGGGAAGCAAAAGGTCCTTTTTGGACATTTTTAGGCTGTCCATTAGATAAATAAATGAAAATGTCAAGTAGAGAGCTAAATACATACGAAGGCTGGCAAGTCCATTCATCCCAAAAGGCAGGTATGTGTACTGATGCAAATAGCTTGGTAGATTTGGTGTAGGAGCATGTGAGAGTTCTCTTCTGGTTGCTTGTATTTTCTCAGTAAAATAAAAAACCAAAGCCCTCAACTGAGATAGCTGGAGATAGAAGGGGAAAGAGTACTGTTGGAGGCCTGCAGGAAAAGACAAAAATATGATACATTCGTACAAATGTTCATCTAGAAAAAGGAACTAACCAGAGAAATACAGTAGAATTGGCAGGCAGCTAGGGGCACACATGAGGTTCATACCCATAAAATTAAAGTGAGATCAGTCAGCATGTGTGTTTTGCTCTAACCATGCTAAGCTGCTAAGAGGCAGACAAGGAAAAGATGGAGAATTAGATTTAACCAGGGTTGGGTTTTTTAGGCAAGTATAATGAAAGAGAGTGAAAAAAGGGAATTAAGGGGCATACACAAAACAGTGAAGCAGAGAACCTAAAGTGGGAGGAGAAAGAGCTTCTTGGTGCAATGGGAAAGAAAAGTTAAGGTCTGGTTCCTATTTCAAAACCTAGAATATACCTATATTTGCACAATGATAAGAGGCCCAGCCTCTATAGATAAAACTGGCAGAAAGGTCTACAGAACATTGAGTATATCTCTTTTGTCTTCAGGTATTTGACCTAAATTGAAAAATGAAAGATGTGAAATACTATATATTTCAGGAAGAAAAAAGCAAGAGACAACAAAATTCTACGAAACATATCTGTCCCAAGTAAATAATTCTGTGATATCATTTAACATTTCTAAAACTTTGGTTTAAAACTTAAGAAAAATCGACTTCCAGCCAACATGGAAGCATAGGTATACTTTGCCTCCTCGCACAACCAAAAGAACAACAACAAATTTAAAGACAAAAAACAAACAGAACTGACAGAAAATAGATCTGTATGGAAGTCTGACAACCAAGGAATTAAAGAAGAAACATTCATCTAGACGGGAAGGAGGGGCAGAGACAGGCAGCTGGGGCTGAGAGGACCCACAGCAAGGTGGCAGCTGGTGGACCAGGCAGTCCCACATTCACGTAAGGATAAATCAGGAGGAACAACTGGAGAGCGAGACTGACCATGCAACCCAGGGTTCCAGTACTGGAAAATAAAGCCTCAAAACCTCTGACTGAAAAAACTTGTGGGGGTTGAGGCGGCAGCTGGAGAAACTCCCAGCCTCACAGGACAGTTCATTGGAGAGACCTACGAGGTCCTAGAATGTACACAAATCCACCCACCCAGGAATCAGCACCAGAAGGGACCAATTTGCTTGTGGGTAGTGGGGGAAGTGACTGAACGCCAGCAGAAAGCTGAGCAAGAGCCACTGTTCCCTCTCTGACCCCTTCCCCACATACAGAGTCACATTACAGTGATGTGGCTGCCTGCCCTGGTGAATACTTAAGGTTCCACCCCTCACTACATAACAGGCAAACCGAGACAAAAAATTATGGCCCATGTGAAAGAACATATCAAAGCTCCAGAAAAAAATACAACTAAGCGACAAAGAGATGGCCAACCTATCAGATGCACAGTTCAAAACACTGGTAATGATTGTTCACAGAATTGGTTGAGTATGGTCGCAAAATACAGGAAAAAGCAAAGGCTATGAAAAGTGAAATAAAGAACTATAGAGGGAACCAACAGCGAAGGAAAGAAAACTGGGGCTCAAACCAACGGTTTGGACCAAAAGGAAGAAATAAACATTCAACCGGAAAAGAATGAAGAAACAAGAATTCAAAAAAATCAGAAGGCTTAGGAACCTCTGGGATAACTTTTAACATTCCAATATCCAAATCACATGGGTGTGAAAAGAGGAAGGGCAAGAAATGGAAAACTTATTTGAAAACATAATAAAGGAGAACTTCCCCAATCTGGCAAAGAAAATAGACTTCTAGGAAGTCCAGGAAGTTCAGAGTCTCTCAGACAAGTTGGACACAAGGAGGAACATACCACATCATAATTACATTACCAAAGATTAAAGATAAGGAGAGAATCTTAAAAGAAGCAAGAGAAAAGGAGACAGTTACCTACAAAGAAGTTCCGACAAGACTTATCACCTGATTTCTCAAAAGAAACCATGCAGGAAAAAAAGGGTAGAAAGAAGTATTCAAAGTCATGAAAGGCAAGGACCTACATCCAAGATTACTCTATCCAGCAAGGCTATCATTTAGAATGGAAGGACAAATAAAGTGCTTCCCAGATAAGGTCAAGTTAAAGTAGTTCATCATCACCAAGCCCTTATTATATGAAATGTTAAAGGGACTTAACTGAGAAAAAGAAGTTGATCAAAAAACTACAAACTCACGACTATCAACAACCAAACCTAAAAAAACAAAACAAAACCAAACTAAGCAAACAACTAGAACAGCAACCGATTCAAAGAAACAGAGATCAGTTGGAGGGTTACTGGGGGGAGGTGGAAGAATGGGGCAAAAGCTACAGGGAATAAGAAGCATAATTGGTAGGCACAAAATAGACAGGGGGAGGGTAAAAATAGTATAGGAAATGGAGAAGCCAAAGAACTTACATGCACTGACCCTTAGACATGAACTGAGGGGGAATGATGGTGGGAGGTGAGGTACAGGGCAGAAGGGAATAAAGGGGAGAAAAAAATGGGACAACTATAATAGCATAATCAATAAAATACAAAAAAAATAAAACTTAAGAAAAATAAAGACACGAGCTCCCTAAAAGTTATCTAACAAACCTCAACCTAACCAAGCAGATCTACACATCAAATATTTCTAACATTTCTTTAAAATATGGCAAAATGTCTTGGCTGGGTAGCTCAGTTGGCTAGAGCATTGTCCTGATACACCAAGGTTGCAGGTTCAATCTCCAGTCAGGACACATACAAGAATCAACCAATGAATGAATAAATAAGTAGAACAACAAATCAATGTGTCTGTTTGTCCTGCCTGCCTCTCCCTCACACAAATCCATGTAAAAAATTAAAAATAAGTAAAATATGTCAAGGATGACAAAATAATGGCAAAAATTTTCAAGTTGAATACATTTTCATAACTGCTTTAATAAGTACAATCACCCTAATGAATGCATGGTTTTATGAGGTCTAGAGGAGGAAGCAGCACATTTTAAAATACTTTAATAATATAGAAAACAAAATCACTTAGGAATAAAGTGGCATTAACCAACTCTGCTGAGGCAGAGAAAAACAATTTTCCTAAGCAGAGACCTAGAATGGAAACTCCTGATCTTAGAGAGACTACTTGTCCCCCAAGACTTCAGTTATCAGTGGACACAACACACTCTTTTGAATAAAGAGGTCTTGTATGGTACCCATAAATGATCCAAAGTCATGCAAACAAATTAACACAAAATCCTACATTAGCGAGCTCAGAGATTCTCAACTTTAGCATCAGTTACATTTTAGACCGGATAATTCTTTGCTGTGGGGACCTGTCCTATGTACTACAGGAGATTTGCCAGCATTCCTGGCCTGTGCCCACTAGATGCCAATGGTACCACCCCCCCACCCCTAGTTGTGACTAAAAATGTCCCTAACATGGCCAAATGTCCCCTGTGGAGCAAAACTAACCCGGGGTTAAGAAACCATAACTTAGCTATAATGTCTTTAAGACCTTTAGATCTCACTTATAGGGAGAAAACAAACCTATATCAAACTTGTACATGTAAAGCATTAGCTTCTCTATTATGTCAGTGATTAAGCCTTACAAGTAATTCAAATGCCAGGAGCTGACCCAATATTTTTTTAAAAGATTTACTTATAAGGACATATATATTTGGCAAGGAGAAAAAACTGCTGTTTGTGTAGGAATACTGAGCTATAGAGTTAGAGGCAATTTTTTATACTGAGAGAATAGGGTTTGCTCTTGTAGAGTTGATTCACTGATACATAGATCTGAAGCTACGTGAGTGATTCAGAGGTAGTATAATTAACTTTTCTCCTTAATGCCTCATTCCTCTTGAGTGATTAATGGAAGAGAAACTTTGCTTGAGTGTTCCTGGGTTTCTTGTGTCCTGCAACAGGTGTCAAATTTCTCCAGGTGAATGCTTACCGGTAAGGGATTGGATAAGGAATGTTGCGGTGAGGATCGTGCAACTGGTGGAACACTTCTGCCAGGGCTGGTTCCTGGCCCGCTTCCCCCAGCAAACTGGCCAACAGGGAAAAATGGATATGAATAATTCAAAACAGTACTATGCTTCAGATAAGGAGAGTAAAAGATTAATACACAAATAGGTCTTAATTATATATACATGGCCCCTTTAAGTCAATGCATCTTATTCGAGAAAGAAAACACCATGAAGTCAAATTCTGCTATCTTTTTGATGAGATTTTTAAGAAGGAACTCCAGCAAAAATGTACCAAGATATAAAGGAAACACGACTAGCAATGGTTTTGAGAAACAGAAGAGAAGAATGCTTTCCCTTCTTGTCTCATAACACAAGAAACAGGAATACTCTGGCACAGCAGATGTTAGTGTCTTCTTTAGTAACCACTAACGATGGGTCAGTAGCTCACTATGTGCTCCACTGGACTAAGGAGAAGAGTCCAAGTTACTCAACTTCAATCTTTGTAAAACACGAAACCTAGTCTGGCCAAGAGAAAAATCACCTCATTTGTGAATTTTATATCATCACAGACAAGACACATCATGTACAAATTTAAATTTAGAAAGTGAGCGGCAGTTTCCTCTTATAGAGAGAAATAGGGCAGCATTAGACTCATGACGATGGGAAGGGGAGGAAAGCACAGTGAAGGCAAAACACTGCTTTCTAAAGCCTTAGATGAATGCAAAAATTTAGGTTTAAAAAAAAAACTATAGATTTTTTTCCCCAAAATGTAACTTACCTCAAAGTAATCACTAATTTTATGTCCCCTAGGAGTGCCTTTCCCTGAAAATGAAACCAAAGTAAGTACAGTTTTTCCCACAACACACATGTAAACCATCAATCACTAAAATATAACATGTATTCAATAACTGCATACGTTGTAATCAATTCAAGGGCCTGTTTTACTTTTAACAAATGAGCCAAACACCTTTATCATAGGAACAGGGAAGATTGCCTCCCCATGAGGAAAGACTAAACAAGCAGTGAAAGACTGTTTCACAGTCTGCTTCCCTTTAAGACTTGTTAATCTTTCATTATAAATATACTTTTATGACACAAATGTAAATCAAAATAAAAGTAATCTACAATCCATACCACCAACTAAGAGGACAAAGAATTCAAAACAAATGTATCAAAAATAAAAGGCTGTCCTGGCTGGTATAGCTCAGTGGAATGAGTGCCAGCCTGCAAACCAAAAGGTCACTAGTCAGATTCCTAGTCAGGGCACACACCTGAGTTGAGTGCCAGGTCCCTAGCTGGGAGCATGTCAGAGGCAATCATTTGATGGTTCTCTCCCTCTTTTTTTCCCTCCCTTTCCCTCTCTCTAAAAATAAAATAAATCTTTTTAAAAAATGAAGTAAAAGGTTTATGCTATTTCACAAAAAACTTTATATGATCTTATCACTTTGGGAGAATTCCCTCCCACCCCAAAATTACAGATTAAAAAAAAAAAACAAGAAAAAGTGAAAAAGACTGGCACTTTCATTTCATGGGGGGCGGGCAAACCATTTATTCTTTCTTTAATTATATAAAGATATTTGGCATTAGAACTGTCATATCTATAGATTTATTCCACTGGGCACCAACGTCCTACTAAATAATTGACATGGAAAAAGGGTAGGTGGAAAGGCCAGCCAGGTAAATAAAACCACTTCTGGTCACCTATTATTAACAAATCACTGATCTAATGCAAGACATAGTTAAAGCTCCAATGTAACCTCTTTTCTGTACAATACATGCTTGGTCTGAAGAAAAACCTGTGGCAAGAAGATCATTAACTTACAACAGGAAAAACAAGAGTCCCCAAAGAACTGACACTGTTTTATCAAGTGTATATCAAGTGGCAAGTCTAAAATAAACATCCTGATATTCCCTTAAGGTACATACATCTCTTTTGTTAGGAAAGAATCTCTGTATACAAACCAATTATCTAGTATGAGTTGGAAAATTCTATCTAAGTACACACAAATTTAGTATTTTTATTAATATAAAATTATTACTACCTTGGCTAGTTTCATATGGTTCAGCTTTTCTTTTCCGGTTTCGCTGGTCATTCTGCTTTTTCTCAGGAGTCTATTAAATACCACATAAATCACAATTAGCATTTTCTCAAATTTTTTACATTATAAAAATTAGAGAATACGTACAAAATATCAAATTTATAAGGCAATTTAACCGGTACAGACAAGTCCTAAATCAGTGTCATGTTCTTAGAGCAAGGTCTGGAACCAAATCATCTATCAACTTTTTGGCAAACTGCCTAAAATACCAGAGCTTCCATTTACTTATCTATAAATTAGGGTTGCTACAAAGCCTAAGTAAGATTATAAAGCACGAATATAGTACAAATATCTAGCATACAGGAGGCTTGCAGAAATCCAATTCTTTTTTTCAAAAAAGGAAAGATCTGTATAATCAATCAACTGGCTCTAATTTACTGAAAGCTTTTTGAAGTGCAAAATAGGTGGTTGCAGATTTGGACCCATATCCATGTAGGTGGGTTTTTTTGCCTAAAAAAATTTTCAAATTCTATTAGTAAAGTTGGCAAGCTACACTGGTACACTGACCCACACAGCTGAAGTACTAACAAGTATTAAAATTCAATGGCACCTAAGCTAATTCAGCTACAACTGCAAATTTTACCCTTTATTGATGACAACTGAGCAAAAATTTAAAAAATATAAATAAACCAAACAAACAAATACAGACACACAGAGCACACAACTCAAAGAACATGGACCCTAACAGCAACCCTGGAGTTATGCTTTTATCCTAAACTGAAAGTGTAGGAATATGAGAAGTCTTGTAATGCATGTGTATTCTTACCTCTACTTCTTTATCACTCAAAGACCCCACACTGCACAAGCTCTGGTTTGAAGACTCGCTATTGAGTGGCCCCTGGAAAAACAAAAAAAAGAAAAAAAAAAGAAACTAATTTAAGATAACACCAAAACTGAGGAAGAAACTTGTTAATTTTGATGCATAAGTTACCTGACTTAGAAGCCAAAAGTTTAACTGCAATGTCTTCAAGCCAACTTGAAAAAAAAAATCAAATCAACTACAGTACCCTCGTGTTAAAATTCTCTAGCTATTATTTTCATTTCCTTTACAAAAGTCTGTACTCATGTGCAGATTTTCCCTTCTACAGTATATGTAGTGAATTCATTCTTTAAGAAAAATGGCAGGAGAGCCCTGGCTGGTGTAGCTCAGTGGATTGAGCACGGGCCTGCGAACCACACAATCGCGGTTCAATTTCCAGTCAGGGCACATGCCTGGGTTGCAGGACGAGTCCCCAGCAAGGGGCAGGTGAGAAGCAACCATACACTGATGTTTCTCTCCCTCTTTCTCCTTCCTTTCCCTTCTCTCTAGAAATAAATAAAATAAAATCTTTTTTTTTTAAAAGGACTTCAAGTAGCCAAAACAATCTTGTAAAAGAACAAAGTTGGAGATCTCCCACTTTGATTTCAAAACTTACTACAGAGCTACAGTGATCAAAAGTATGGCACTGACATTAAAAACAGACAAAAGGAACCGAATCAAGAGCCCAGAAATAAACACCCACACATATAGTCAAGTGATTTTCTTTTCCATTTTTATTGCCCCTTCCCATCCCTCAGTTTTAGTGAGCTATAACTGACATACAGCTCTGTATAAGTTTGTATTGCCATATAATGGCGTGAAATAAAATGATTTTTGACAAGGGTGCCATGACCATTCAATGAGTAAATGCTGTTGGGGAAAAATGGGTATCTGCATGCAAAAGAATGAAGTTGGGCCCTTACCTTACACCATATATAACAATTAACTTGAAATGGATGACACCCAAAACATACTTCACAAACCAAAAATAGATAAAATGGGTAACATCACATTGAAAATCCCTGGGCACCAAAAAACATGATCAACAGAGTGAAAGAGCAACCCATGGAATGGGTAAAAATATCTGCGAATCATATACCTTAGGTTAAGAGGTTAGTATCTAAAACACAGAAAGAATTCCTACAATCAACAAAAACAAAACAAGCATACCAATTTAAAAACAGACAAAAGACTTGAATAGGCATTTCCTTAAAGATATACAAATGGCCAAGAAACACATGAAAAGATGCTACACCACTAATTAAAAATATGCAAATCAAAATCACAATGAGACATCACTTCATGTCACACTCATTAGGATGGCTACTATAAAATAAAACACAAAATAATAAATGCTGACAAAGATGTGGAGAAAACTGGAACTCATATGTACTGCTGGTTGTAATATAAAATGGAGCAGCCACATGGAAAACAGTATGGCAGTTCCTCAAAAAATTAAAAACAGACTTCTAGCCAAGATGGAGGTAGAAACACTGTACCTCCTCACACAACCAAATTTAAGGACAACAAAGATTTAGAAAAAAAAACAAGCAAAACAGACTGAAAATTGAACTGTACCAAAGTCCAACAACAACAACGAACCATTCATCCAGACCGGTAAGAGGGGTGGGGTCGGCGGCTGGGGGAGAGGGGTCTCAGCAGGGAAAAGAGGTGGCTGCCGGACCAACCCAGGCACACAGGCGGCGGTTGGCAGATCCCAGGTGTGGGGTGGCAACGGGCAGACCCAGTGAGGGCTCAAGGCAGCTGGCTGACCGCAGTCACACCTTCACATGCAGATAAATCAGGTGAAAAAACTGACAGTGAGCCCTGGCTGGTGTAGCTCAGTGGATTGAGCGCGGGCCTGCGAACCAGACAATCGCGGTTCGATTCCCAGTCAGGGCACATGCCTGGGTTGCAGGCCAGTTCCCTGCAGGCCAGTTCCCAGCAGGGGATGCATGAAAGGCAACCATACATTGATGTTTCTCTCCCTTTCTCCTTCCTTTCCCTCTAAAAATAAATAAATAAAATCTTAAAAAAAAACTGACAGTGAGACACTGTGAAACTCAGGGCCCCAGTGTCAGGAAGGAAATAAAGCCTAAAAGCACCGATTGAAAAAACTTTGGGGGATTGAGGTGCTGGGAGAGGCTCCCAGCCTCACAGGAGAATTTGTTGGAGAGACCCACAGGGTCCTAGAACATACACAAGCCCACCCACCTGGGAACCAGCACCAGAAGGGCCCAATTTGCAGCATAGGGGACCAAATTCAGAGAGTGGTCCCCTCTCTCGCCATTTCTCCTTCTCTGACCCTGCCCCCACATAGCGTCACAACCCAGCGACTGGGTAGACCTGCCTCAGTGAACACCTAAGCTTTCGTCCCTCATATGTAACAGGTGTGAATAGACCAAAACATTATGGCTCAGCAGAACAACTCAAAGCCCCAGAGCCAATACTTCTAAGCAACAAAGAGACAGCCAACTTATTAAATGCACAATTCAAAACACTGGTGATCAGGATGCTCACAGAACTAGTTGATTTTAGTTGCAAATTAGATGAAAAAATGAAGACTACACTAAGTGAAATGAAGCAAAATGCACAATGAACCAATAGTGATGGAAAGGAAACTGGGACTCAAATCAAGGGAGTGGACCAGAAGGAAAAAAGAAACAAACAGAAAAGAATGAAGAAACAAGAACTCAAAAAAATGAGGAGAGGCTTAGGAACCTCTAGGACATCTTTAAACATTCCAACATCCGAATTATAGGGGTACCAGAACGGGAAGAGGAAGAGCAACAAGTGGAAAACTTATTTGAACAAATAATAAAGGAGAACTTCCCCAATCTAGCAAAGGAAATACACTTCCAGGAAGTCCAGGAAGCTCAGAGAGTTCAAAAGAAGTTGGACCCATGGAGGAACACACCAAGGCACATCACAATTACATTAGCCATGATTAAAATGAAGGACAGAATTCTAGAAGCAGCAAGAGATAAGGGGACAGTTACCTACAAAGGAGTTCCCATCAGACTGTCAGCGGATTTCTCAAAAGAGACCCTATAGGCAAGAAGGGGCTAGAAAGAAGTATTCCAACTCATGAAATCCAAAGACCTACATCCAAGATTGCTCTATCCAGCAAAGATTCCATTTAGGATGGAAGGACAGATAAAGTGCTTCCCAGATAAGGTCAAGTTAAAGGAGTTCATCATCACCAAGTCCTTATTATATGAAATGTTAAAGGGACTTGTCTAAGAAAAAGAAGATAAAAAAGATGAACAGTGAAAGGACAGCAAACTCACAGTTACTAACAACTACACCTAAAACAAAAGCAAACTAAGTAGACAGCTAGATCAGGAGCAGAACCCTAGAAATGGCGATCACATGGAGGGTTAGCAACAGGGCAATGGGAGGAGGAGAAGGGGGTTGAAGGTACAGAGAATAAGTAGCATAGACGGTAGGTAGAAAATAGACAGGGGGAGGGCAAGAATAGTACGGGAAATGTAGAAACTAAAGAACTTGTGACATATGGACATGGACTAAAGGGGGGGATAGGGGGAAGAGGGTGTGCAGGGTGGAGGAGAATAAAGGGGGAAATGAGATAATTGTCATGGCATAATCAATAAAATAATATTTTTTAAATTAAAAAGAGAATGAGTATATGACACAGTAACTCCATTTCTGGGTATACTATATTCAAAAAAATTAAAAACATGGTCTCAAAAAAGAGATACCATATTTTTTGGACTATAAGACACACCCTCCCACCCCCTGCCATTTGGGAGGAATGATGGTTGTTAATGCTGCTATCAAGTTCTGTTTACATTTACATTGGTAAAATATGTTATTTATGTTATTAAATATTTCACCATATTTTTTGCTTCAAAAAATTTTCCACTATTTTCCTCCTATAAAGCCTAGGTGCATCTTACGCTCTGAAAAATACACTATTTGCAAACCTATGTTTGTAGGAGTATTATCATAAAAGCCAAAGAATGGAAGCAACCCAAGCGTCCACTGATGTATGTACGAACAAAATGTGGTATAGAACTGAATATCACTCAGCCTTAAAAAGGAAGGTAATTCTGACGCATGCTCCAAAATAAATGAATGTTGAGGACACTGTACTAAGTGAAATGAAGGGGAGATAAAAAGGCAAATACTGTATGATTCTACTTACTTGAGGTACCTAGAATAGTCAAATTCACAGAAACAGTAGGATAGTGGTTGCCAGGGATTGGAGGGAGGAACGAATGGGGAGTTGTTGTTGTTTAATGAGTACAGAGGTTCAGTTTCGGAAAATGAAAAAAGTTCTGGAGACTGGGTACAGAACAATGTGAATGTACTTAACACTAGTGAACTGTACTCTTAAAAACGATTACAATGGTGCTGGCTGGGTGGTTCAGCTGGTTGGAGTGTTGTCCCATACACCAAAAGACTGCAGGTTCAATTGCCGGTTGGGGCACTTATTAGGAGGCAACCATTCAATTATTTCTCTCTCCCCACCCCCTCCTTTCTCTATAAAACCCATAAACTTATCCTCCGGTGAGAATTTTTAAAAAATGGTTACAGTGGTAAGTTTTGTTACATGTATTTTACCACAATTATAACTAAAAAAAAAAAAACCTATTAATTATTGTTTTTAAAATTAAAGTTTATGCAAGTGCTTTATAAAGTTATTTATTCTTTTATTTGCAATAATTATAATGGGTAACACTTGCTATGCAGCACTTCTATAGGCTGGACATTCTGTATTAGCATATTTAATTCTCACAACTGATACAGAATTAGGCTCACACAAATGTACCCCACTGATTTTTGACAGAAGTGCAAAAGCAAATTGATAGCCTTTTCAACAAATGGTGCTAAAGCAATTTAGACATCCATAGTCAAAAATATGACCTTGACTTAAACCTCATACATTACTTAAAAAATTAACTCAAACAGGATCAAAAACTGCAATGTAAACCATAAAACTTTTTTTGGGGGGGAAGGGATAAAACTTTCACAACCTAGGCTACATGAAGAGGTCCAACACCAAAAGCTTGATA